AAACTCGGCTTCTATCTAGGGATGAAATTACTTGAAACCGAAATTTCGACGGGCATCGGTAACATCTTCGATCGTTAGAATAACAACCGAACAAAAAAATAAAAATACATGCACACAGTTATTAAAATAGTTGAAACGAAACGATATATATACTTGATCTCGTTCATACTTCGTATGAGTCAATTAGCAATTTGATTTACCATGAATGTGGGAAATTTTAGTATTAATATTATAAAATATAAATTAATATTATATAAAATTAATAAGAAGCATGTTTATTTTTGCCAAAATTTGTATTTTACTAAAATGTCCTACAGCTTCGAGAATGTACGTCGTAAACAAAATACATATTTTGTGGATACGATCATCTATAATCTTATATAATCAGCGTACTACAAATATTAACAAATAACTTTATACTTTATTATTATTATTTTTATAACTAATATTTAACAATATTTAAATGAATAATGAAAATTATAATTAATTAATTGAGTATTTAATGATGAATATATAGATCGTAGATCGTAAACTGTAGACTGTAATTTGTTAAAATATTGATCTTTTTGGTTTCTTGTTTTTGAGTTGGCGCCGTAAATTTATCGGAAATGAACTCTTCGTTGAGAAATCACTGTCACTAGAATAGACGTCGCTACACTCATATGCATTTCCGGTAAAAGAAGCAATATGGGTAAGTTTTCGACCTTAATTTTGAAAGTGTAAAATTTAATTTTTTAAATATGTGTTGTTCTCACAGATTGTCCAGTTTGTTTTAATTATAATTTCGTTAAATATTCGTTGCAAAATTCTAAATTAACTAAGTGGGAATAAGGTTCATTGAACAAGGACAACATAACCTAACTCTTCGATTTGCAGGTAAACCTCGTGGTCTGCGTACTGCACGTAAACACGTGAATCATAGACGCGATCAGCGTTGGAATGACAAGGATTACAAAAAAGCTCATTTGGGAACAAGGTGGAAGGCCAATCCATTCGGTGGTGCTTCTCATGCAAAGGGTATTGTTCTAGAAAAAGTGTATGTATATTTGTATCATTAATATCCTATAGAAGAAACATGTATCCATACAGATATTTTAAATGAATAATTGTATGTTTATAGTGGCGTAGAAGCTAAACAACCGAATTCCGCCATTCGTAAATGCGTGCGAGTTCAATTAATCAAAAATGGAAAAAAAATCACAGCCTTTGTCCCTAGGGATGGCTGTTTGAACAATATCGAAGAAAATGATGAAGTATTAGTTGCAGGTTTCGGTCGCAAAGGTCATGCTGTGGGCGATATTCCAGGAGTACGATTCAAAGTAGTGAAAGTTGCTAATGTTTCGTTGCTTGCACTTTACAAAGAAAAGAAAGAGCGACCTAGATCCTAAAACTACTCCTATATGTAATAAAATAAAACAAAAGTATAAAAAAAAAATTTTTAATGAATTACTATTTTGTTGATATCCATGAACATTTTTATTTTTTATGACAATTAAACAATTTAATGTTTTTGAAAAATTCCTGGAACAAAATTAGTATCCATGCATATGTTTGTAGCTTCTTCAGTGCTTCCAATAATTTCATTTAATGGAGTATTTAATTTCTTTGTCTCTTTTGGTATGTTGATACTCAATATTTCT